TGTGAGTGAGCGTGTGAATGAGTTTGTCTCTGTGTCCCTTGATGGACTGGAGACCTGTCCAGGGTGTGTCCCCCGTCTCTCCCACAGTGACTGCTGGTGATGGGCACCAGCTGTGACCCAGAAAGAAAAAAATCAGAAGATGGATGTTTGAGTGTGAAGATAATAAAACTTCTGGAAGAAGTTACACTGATAAAGGAATGTTGACAGTAGGGGTTGAACGACTACATACTTTTTAAACTCGACATTAACATAATAAAACTCTAGTAGAACTCGAGTACTTGATGACATTATAGGATCTAAAGATACAAAAATAAATAAATAAAACCGCAATAAAGGTCATTATTTACCAAAAAAAAGACCAACAAAACATTGGGAGCGTATATTATGCTCCTACCATTTATCATACTGCAAATAAGTCACAGGAAAAACTAAACTATTAGTTATTATTATTAAGCTTCAAACGTGAAGAAACACGCAGCACGTCAGAAACGAAACTAAACACAGTGGGGGTCCCACCCCGCACCACCACCAGCTGTGGTACGCATGAAGTTTAGTTTTAGAGATTAATATGTTTATAGATTTTTTTAATAGGTTTAGAGATTAATATTTTTTGCTTTTTGTTTGTGAAACAAGGTCAGAAGAAGCTGGTTCGGTAGACTGGACCCGGTGTTGCACCATACTCTGTGACCTGCAACAGTACAACACCGCCCCCTACTGTCACAAAATATGTATACACTGCATGAACAGTTTAAAGTCAGCAGGTAACAGGGTTGAAACATTTAGTTGGATTTAACCTGAATTTATATGGTCAGTTTTTTTTTTATTACCAGAGTAAAATTAAATGTAGCTCATCATTATTTAAGTAACATAAAATAAAATAAAAACATATAGACAATAATTTATAGTTCTGCCAGGGTTTTTGTTTCTTAAATTTGTTGTATTACTTGAATCTGGCGGCTGCTGTGGCTGAGTGGTTAGAGCAGTCGTCGTCCAATGCAAGAGTTGTGGGTTTGAATCCACCAGCAGTCACATGCTGAAGTGTCCCTGGGCAAGACACTGAACCCCTCGTTGCCTCCGATGTGTGTCCCACCAGTGTATGAATGTGATAAAGCTCTGATTATTCTCAGAATGATTTGTTCAATTAACTTTGTATAGATCTAGTAGAGTGCTGTATGAACGGGTAAATGAGGCACAGAATGTGTTATAAAGCATTTTTGAGTGTCTCGATAAGATAGAAAGGTGTTAAATAAGTACAGTCCATTTACCATATCTTCTGAGCCTGATATAGTCAAAATACATATTTTTAATTTACTATTCACTGTGAGTTCTTGCCTTGTATTGCTCTGCAGCATGAAAACATCCACTGCTGTAACTTTTTCAAGTTATTAGTAGTGTAGGCATTTCTGCAGCACGAGAAGCTCCTGGGTCGTCTTCACCATCTGCAGCTTGTGTCCACAACTTTACAACAGCTCCAACCATAAATACACCAGTGGCATACATCACATCAACAAGTAGCGTGTGTGTGTCTTCTGCCTTAATGTTGGCTGATAAGACTATTCACTGGTTAATTGGTCATCGTTAACTATAGGCTCACTCACTGGTACATTTTCATCTTTAAATCACTTCTTGGTCTACTGCCTTCATACATCTCCTCCTACATGTCTCTGCATGTGTGCAGCTACAGTTGTACTACAAAAAGATCTGAAGCTCTCGACCTTGACCCTAAGTGGCTTCAAACATCTGCTAAGTTCATGGCAAAAACCAATTGCAGTTTTTTTTGGGGCTTGTTTTGAACATTAAGTCGCTTATTTGGGCTTGTGTTTCTTTCCGAGTGAAAGCAAAAGATGAGTGGTAGGTAGTTTGTCCCTTCACGCTCCCCTTCCACGGATGTTGCGTCCATGCGGATGATACGTTCAGGTGCGGCTGGCGCCAGTTTGTGCTGCAAAGCACATCTTTTTTGGCACTCGAAGGTTTTGGAAGTTTAGCAGGTTTATTAATAAACATATTTTAAGGAATTTTTCCTTACGTTGGGAAAATATTTTAATTTGTTTTTCTAGATTCCCCAGAAAGGATGCTAAATGTTGTTTTATAATAATTGTTTTGGCCAAATTTTTCATTCATAAATGTAAATTTACTAACAAAACGCCATGCTTTCTTCATTTTATTAAGGATTTGGATCTATAAGTAAAGTTAATAACAGACTCTACCAACAAAAAGGCCCTTAGGACAATTTCTATCTGTAAATCTTTGCAAATATTTGTTTAAAAAACTCACCCCTGGTTGTTTGTTCATGTAAGTGTTCGTCTATACTCCAGCCTTTTGTTTGTTATATACTTGTCATTTGCTTTAATAAAGATTTTTTTTTTTTTTTAAACGTTTGTGCTGTAAAGATTTCATTCCAACCAAGGAGATGCTCGAGCACTTTGTGGAAGGAACATTTGGAAGCACAGAGACAGAGGCAAATGAAAACGGCGATGATGGATTGTAGTTCAGGTAAAAACAATTTTTACATGTTTTCATCTGTACCAGGCTTTATGTTAATTGTCCCATATGAGATTTCTGTTACAGATGAACAGACCTGATGGGGAAGCAAGGACAAGGAAAGAAGATGGTTTCACACTTGACCTGTTTGAGTTGGCTCATGTTTGTTTGCTTTTAAACAGAGTTTAAAGAAAGTTTTTTGCTGACTGTTTACTATGAGTTTGCTGTTAAAAGAAAATTGTACACATGATTTATGGTCGTCTGTTGTTGTCATTGTTGTCATCACTCTTTGTTTAAAATTCAGATCTTTCCGGTAAATGTGTCTCAGAGACTCAATGGGATTAATTAAAGGTTGAATTAATGTTACACATGCAAAATGTTTTTTTTTCCCCAAGTGTAAAAGTATGTTATTCAAAGTGTTAAGCATAATTTTGCTGTTTATATGTAATGCCATAATAAATGTATGTTTATACAGTTTAAAAACGGCCTCAGTTTTACACAATGTGGTGGGTTGCCAGATAAGCCTGTTTTCATGGAGCTGGTTGCTTGTTTCTATTGCGAGATCTGGCAACACTGGCCAGCACGCAGAGGAGATCTGACCGTAATCTCGCTGCCAGCAGCGGCTGAAACGGGTGGAAGACACCGCTGAATCCACGGAG